TTGTCCTGTCTAGACTACTGCATTAGTCTTTTTGATTGTTTAAATAAGGACCATGATCAGCTTCATGATGTTCAAAACTCTGATGCAAGGCTTTTAACTCACGGAACATTACTGGGTTAATTTAGCTTTTTTTTAATAGTTAGCTGTGTAATGTTGAGTCCATCCTTGGTCTCTGACCAAGTTGTCATTATTTAAAGGCAGGTGTGAATAATGTTTTTATCCAAGTCAATCACAATTAATCATGACTAATTATAATTAAGATATAATTGTGATTAATCCACAGCTACACTGTGATTAATCTGAATAACATTCTTATTGGTTGACAGCCCTAAGAAATACACTTTACTCACTTTCTTTTACTTATTAGTTTGACTTTGACCATCACTGAATGTACTCAATGCCATGTTTCAGGTCTCGATGGTTGCTGTCTGGGAACTCCTATGTCTATTTTAAACCTAACCCCACATTACACTTAAAAAAAAAAAAAACACCAGCAAGAAAAACTGGTGCCATTGACATGATCTAAAGAGAGCTCTACACCATAACGGCACCGCTTCAAATGTTAGCCCACTGTAAATTTTAGCTTAAAATCTTCCTTTGATAAAATGCCCCCATTGTGGTGAGTTTCCACAGACGCAAGAAGACGAGCAGAACTTCTGGAATGATATGAATGGATCTGTTTCTTTTCAGAGGTCAAGGACTGACGACTGTCTTTTTAAATGTTATTGGCCCTCAGGTCAGAAGCCTAAAACATGAACCCATGTGCTCCCCTTGAGTAGGTAATAAAGTCCTGTCTCACAAAGAGCCTATGAATAACGTTAGAGGTTTGACTTGCTGTAGGGATGAATGAAATACATCCCTTGTTCAGTTCTCTCACAACCCAAAGCACTGGCTGAAGGAAAAGGCAAAACTGCAGAGGGGGAGACAAACAAAACGTTCTACTATGAGCTTACAGAGAAAGGATTCTCTATCTTAGTAGTTTGAAGGTTAGAAGGTTTGATCACGCCACGGGCATTTCCCCTTGTGTTTGCATTCACCTCTCTTGTTTTAAGCGAGTTCCCAATAAATCCAGACAAAGACGCGATGCTCTGTGGACCCGCAGCACTACACGAGATGCAGTGGCAGGCATTAAAATGAATAGACAACAAACATGGACAGCACTTCATCACACGTAAGGGACCTGACAACCAGTGTAAATTCTTGGATAAATGTTGGAGTCGGAGCATGTGCTAAGGACGTCATCGCAGACAGTGAAGAAACATTTAGCATGTAACTTTGTTTTTTTTGCTTAAATAAACACGACTTAAATCCATCAACCCGACGAAGCAGAATTTGAATGCTTTTGCATATTTTTCTTATTTTAAAAACTCCTTAATTTGGAGTGGTCACAGATGACAGGTGTGAATCACATATCTAACAGCTGATATTTATCTTTCTGTTCTAGTAATGAAAAGAACACGTTTTGTAACATTTAAGATTGTTAATTTATTGGCATTAATCAGAATTAATTACTCCAATAAAGCAGGTCAATATTTGAATTAATTTAAGAGGCCTTTTCTTATTTCATAAGAGCATTTAAAAAGAAAGATTAAAAGTAATAAAATGTTAACTTGAGGTAATTTTTGTATTACTTCACAGAGAGAGTGACTATACTAAATCAACACTCATCTGAGACCATGGGCAGTTCTCCAGGTCACCACTAGGCCCAGGCACATGGAGAGAAGAGAAATTCACTCCTGTGATCAATTCAATGTCCAATTAACCGTATTTTTGGACTAAAGTATGCACGTGTTGGAAACCCCCTCCCAAACAGACTCCGTACTGAAAGACCAAACATCTAACCAGCAACATTCTACAGTATCAGCTTAGAGAAGCTGAATGCCTTTAAGACATCATTTAGGAGTGACCTCTGGACTAAAAATATTCAACAGGACAGACAATACACAATACTCAGCTTTGTTACTCTAAAAAACAGAAAACTTTTTTTTTCTGAACATCAGATACGTAGATTAAAGGTGTATCAGTGTCTTAAAGTGCAAACATAATCACCCAAATTCCAATGTTTCCACCAGCATTAGGAATTTATTTATTATCTGTCTTTTTCTTATGTCCTGGGGGAAGTTTTTCCAGTCCAAACTTACATACATTAAACTCACTGGAACTAGAACCACTGGTACTGTTGAACACTGAACCAACAAAAGAGAGGAGGGGAACGAAGGTATATACACCCAGGGCACCAGGTGACACCAGTAAAACAAACGAACAGGGACACAGGTGGGAGTGATTTACACTAATTAACCACAAGGAGCAGACAGGAGCAGGGAGACAAACAGACGTCACTATTTTTCTACAGGGCGAACCGATATTATCAAGAGATCTGGTTTGTGCCTGGGTTCGATTTCATAAAACTGAATATCTTAATAAACCAAAGGTGTCACTGCCACATTAAGGCTTATTAAAACAATTCTGGACAATGTACGACAGACGTTTGAGACGTTTTACAATGAATCTACAAAACATCAACCAACTTATAATAAAAATGAAAACTTCTCTCTGATTCCTTCAGATTCTTTCCTTCCTCATCTCTTGGACATTTTAGAAGACGACAGATCAGGAACTGTAGGCCAGTCAAGCACTGTCTCTCACTCTATGTATGTCATCTGTCATTTGTGCAAAATTCAGACATGGAGGTCCTGAAGAAAGGCATCACCTTACAGGACAGGACTGTTTATCTGTTCATCAACTTCTGCGTCAACAGTGTCATTTACAGATCCCTGTCTGTCCAAAGTCTATGTTTAAATCACATACTCGTCACCTCTCTGCCTGCAGTTGATAATAACCTAAATGCCAAGTTCTACAAAATCCGACAGCCATTTAAATCCTGAACAAACTTCATCTTGACCTCACCTGCCCTGTGTTTGGTTAGAACTCCTCCCACGAGCTTGGGCACAAAGAACTTAACGTTTCTGGACCGAAGAGATCAATGTCTTCCTCAGATGCAGATGTATATGTATATGTATGAACAATAGTTGCCTACACTATCCCTGAGTCCATGTGGCCACGTCCAGCCTACACTATCCCTGAGTCCATGTGGCTACGTCCATCCTGATAGCAATGCTGTTTTAAATGCCTAAGAGCTCAAAGGTCAGGCATTATTATCTCTTGCGAAATTCCGCGCGCACTGGTTCACCGTAACTGATCGTCGATGCTGAGGAATCTCAGAACGTTAGTCTGACTTTAACTCTTGAAGTGTGTTGCAGGCATCCATTTCTAAATTAGTTTATTTTTAGGACAACAAGTCCTGTCAGAGACGTTTATTATGTGTCCTCTCCTTTTATCCTGTAAATATAGGATCTGTCTATTAATCAATTTTTTTTAATTTTTAATTTTTATTTATTAAATGTTAAGTGTTATTGACTTACAGCAAGAAGGTCCTGGTGTTTCCTGGTGTTTCTGTATGTAGTTTGCATCTTTCCTATGATTGGCTCTTCCTCCCCACAACTCTGGAAATAAATTAAATGCTTATTTAGAATTTAAGGTAATTTTTTTATTATCTTTTTTGAAAAAAATCATTTTTTAATCCATACACTACAATCTAATATCTTTTTATATCTTTTATCTATCTTTGTTTTTTTTTTACATTCAAAATTTGACTAGGAAACGATGGTCCACTTGATATAATTAAGTTTAATAACTTTTTTTTTTTTAAACTGAATTTTTATACGACAAGTTTTCACTGAGAGATTGTATTTAACTGGGTTCGTGGCACTCAGAACAAATAATGTTTTATAGTAGATGAGCAGAACTAAAGAATAAACGTTATTTGGCCTGAAGGAAACTTTGCCTTGTAGACTATTGGTCCACCGGCTGAAAGAGGTCTTTGTGAGCTGGAGGTGGTGACGTCAAAAGGACTCTATGAAGACATAAATTCATAGTTTAGCTGGAACAACACAACAGTGGGAGGATGAGTCTTGGTGTCTTCCTCCTTTTTATTAACTTGCATAACTAATGAGCCTTGGGCTGGGGATAAATTAGGCTGGACTAGTCAGGCTCCTCACATTTGCACAAACTAGCTTTGAGTTCTCACTGTAGGCTAATGAGACAAAAGGGATTATAATCTGTATCTGTTTATATCCACCGCTGTTCATTTATCATGATGGAGATGCTTGAATACAGCCATTACCAGGTGAGACGTGTTACTGTGATTTAGTTAAATTCTATCTATCTATCTATCTATCTATCCATCTATCTATCTATCTATCTATCTATCTATCTATCTATCTATCTATCTATCTATCTATCTATCTATCTATCTATCTATCACAGTTTTATTATATAACATTTTTTTGGTTTGTGTTTTGTACAAATTCGTCCACATTTTTCCAGGTTTACTTTACCCAGTGAAAAGCCTCTCAGCTCTGCCACACAGTGTCTTTTGAAAGGGGTTCGGTCTTATACAGAACTGTAGCCAGTGACGAAACGTACTAATGTAAAAATGGTCGAATTTACTCTCTGCTGGAATGACTTCTCATTCCTCCACTGTTAAAAAAAGTTGTAAAAATCAAATGTAGGTGTACAACAGAAAGTTTCCTGACTGCTACGATTATAGTTATTTTGACTTTGAATGATTAAAAACAAATCAAATCTGGTATTTCTTTTCTCTCTCTTTGACTTAAAAATGTCTTTGGTTGTTAATTGCAATTGTAATGATTGCAGCCTTAAAAATAGATGGTGAAAATACGACAGTTTGTTTATAATTTATAAAGCTTTCTGAAGTTTGTTTGGTTTAAAAAAAATGTACAAATCAAATTCAATCAATTGATCATTGGATTTATAACTTAGTAATTCTATTAAATAAGAAATATTTATGTAATTGGTGTTATAGTCCATTTTTACCTCATGATCATTTTGAATTTTACAAATTTGTCAAATATAACACCATTTCTATATAGAAAAGGTTTGGTCTTGAATAATAATTTTTTGTTTTTGGTTTAACACAGGTGCCGTCTCACCTGGAGAACCCTGCCAAGTATCACATCCAGCAGTCTCATCGGCAGCAGGTCAGGCAGTATCTCTCCACCAGCCTGGGGGGCAAAGCTGGCAACCAGTGTCCCAGTCAACCCCCCGAGCACGGCATGCCACCTGGACCAGGCAGCAGCGCCCCCAACAGTCCCATGGCCCTACTCACCCTCAGCTCCAACTGTGAAAAAGAAGTAAATATTTCCTTTTCCACAAAAGATTAAGATAATCTTAATTAAAATTATGTGATTGAAATGTGGATTCACTTATTACAGATGGATGATGTCATTGATGACATCATTAGTTTGGAATCTAGTTATAACGACGAGGTTCTTGGACTGATGGACCCAGGACTGCAAATGAACAACCAAGTAGGTTTAGGTTTAGTAAATAATATTTTAGACAATAATTATTATTATTCCCTAATACTCTGTGTGTCAATAAGAAAATACATTCCTCTCCAGCTCCCTGTGTCTGGAAGTCTTCTTGATGTTTATGGCAACCAAGGACTCCCCCTGCCTGGACTCACCATGGGCAACTCCTGTTCACCCAACGTCAAAAGGGAATACTCAGGTTAACAGATGAAGTTTTCATACTTGTCATAGTCAGTATCTCTTACTCCACCTAATTAGACAATAATTAGTATACACACAAACACACACACACACACACACATATATTTATATATACATATATGTACATATATGTATATATGTACATTTATGTACATTATATGTACATATATGTATATATGTACTGTATATGTACATATATATATATATATATATATATATGTGTGTACATATAATGTAATCTTGTGAAATAGAATTTGACAGCGATTTTTTTCTGTTCCACAGATGCTGAGGTGCGAGCTCTCGCAAAAGAGAGACAAAAGAAGGACAATCATAATTTAAGTAAGTTCACAGCATTTGTGCGTTTTGTTTCTACAAATCTTGTGCAAGTTCTTCTTCTTTGTCTTACATATTTACCACATTAAGAATTGTCTGTAAAGTGTGAAAGTCGTAAACACTCCGGTCGGACACATCTTAAGATTAATATAAAATCCTTTTAGCGTACTACGTTACAATGACATGATCAAATTCACTAGCTTTAGGACTGATCTATCATGACACTGTGCTAATGCTGCACATTTCACTTGTCCATCTGCAGTTGAGCGAAGAAGGAGATTTAACATCAACGACCGCATCAAAGAGCTGGGAACTTTAATCCCCAAGTCAAGTGATCTGTAAGCTCTTTTCTTTGGCCTTTTGTTTGGGACTGTGGAGTTATTCTGACCCATCTGTCTTTCTGTTGTCCATCTACCCATTCACTTTGTTTTGCGCTCCCTCTTCTTCATGCATCCTGAAATTTCCCTGTAATGACTGGAAATAATTTTGTGCTGTTCTGGTCATCTGGTCATCTGGTCAGCTGATGCTCACTGTAGATCTTTGTCTTGCATACCCCAGAGACATGCGCTGGAATAAGGGCACTATTCTAAAAGCCTCAGTGGACTACATCAGGAAGCTGCAGCGGGAGCAGCAGAGAGCCAGGGAGCTGGAGTGCAGACAGAGGAAGATGGAACATGCAAACCGCCATCTGATGCTGCGCGTCCAGGTGGGTTTTTCCCACGGTGGTGAGGGACCTTTGAGCAAAAGAAGACAAGATAAACACAGGCCTGTTTGTCAAACTCCCTGGAAAGGTGGGACCTCCAATGGCCCACGGAAAACTGGACACAGAGACATACATTGAGCTGCAGTATTGTAGATTTACTATCTCAGTACAGTATATGACATAGTCCTTTCATTGTTTCAGGAGAACCTAGATACCCAGGGCAAAGGGTTCCAGAGAGACCAACTCTACAATAAAAATATCCCCCAAGTCCTTACAGTACTGAGATGTACAGTCAGTATTACTGTTAGTACTGTGAGTGTGGGTCAATAAAAAAAAACAAAAAAACAAAACAAAACATATTAACTCAACCTGTATAAAAAAACAATTCCCTGCTGGAAGCATATATATATTATTATATATTTATCTATTTATCCAAATGAGCACATCACAAAAAAGTTTTCTTTAATAATCTTGCTGAAAGGCTAGCACACTAACCATCATGTCCTTAGAGTTATTTAAAAAAAAATTTAAGATACAACAACACTCAAGTTCATTTTCCAATAAGTATTCAGTATAATTATTTTCACCATATTGTGCAATGTTAATACAGTTTATTCCTCTCTTTTCTGTCATGTGCATTATCAGGTAATCCTATTATATAAACCTGAGGATTAATATATTTATTCTCATGCGTTACTGCAGGAGCTGGAGATCCAGGCTCGGGCTCATGGTCTCACTGTGGTGTCGTCTCCACCTGTATGCACATCAGAATTATTGGCCCGGGCCATTAAACAAGAGCCCATCCTCGGTGACTGCCCATCAGAGGTCTATCGCTGTGGTTCACCACCAGACATGTCCCCCCCAACAACACTGGACCTCAACAATGGCACTATCACCTTTGACCAGGTTTCTGTGGACAGTGGGGACAGTGGGCTGTATGGAAACTCCAGGACGTGTAAAATGAAGGAACTGGTGAGGAACAACAGCCTGTCTTCACTCTCGTCAAATGACTTGCTGTCGTCTTTGTCTCCGGAGGGTTCCAACACCATGAGCAGCCACCACTGCTCCAGCTCCAACATGGAGGAGAAGGAGCCTGGCTGTTAACGCAGCGGCCGTCACACAGTTCACACGCATCACAGACAACTGTATGGTTATTCATTAAGAATACAACATTTTAATTAAGCTTAAGTTAACTTTAACTGGTACGTTGAATTTATCCAGTCAAATATTTTTTTTAGTTTTTTACATCATGACAGATAGAAGACTGAGAAACAGCACAGCAGAGATTTATAACATTTACTGTATGGATGAAACATTTTTAACATACTTTTTTATCTTTTGATATTGTTTGATTATATATATAGTTACAAAAGTGTTCATGAGAATGGCTCAAAAATACATGAAAACATATCACACAGTTTTAAAGTGTTTGTTGTATGTGTTCTTTTTTTGTAAAATTGTTTTTAAAATGAAGATCCAACCGGTTATGCATATGTAATGACATTTCTATCAATGATTTAATAATGCAGTTATTGTTACTAAACAAATGAAAACATGTATTTCTTTGTGTGTTACTAAACAAATGAAAACATGTATTGTATGTGTTGTGAAGTACATTATGTTTTTTACTTGAGAATTTTATATAAATATATATATATATATAATTATAGTTACCTATCAGGATTAATGAAACGTTTGGGATTATTGTTATAAAGTGTCTTCACATCCTGTGGCAGGATGTTGTTTTTAGATGGTTAAGCTAAAAACTTGATTTAGCATTTAAACCAGTTATGGATGGAAAGAATTGACAAAATACCCAAGGATAGTCAAATTTTTTTTTTTATCCACCTGGTTTGAATCATTTAATGTGTCAATAAAACAAATGTACAATGAAGCAGCAGTAGTTTTTCTCACACAGTTTTTTTTCTTAACTTCATTGTTAACTCATGTGAATGATTGTCTTTATTTTTATGACAAACAGTGAAGTTCAGAACATTTTCTTTAAGCAATAGACATTTAGCAGAGAAGTGGCCCTTAGCAGGGTTAGCAGCAGGAAGTCATGGAGAAAAAGGACAACATCAGGTGAATCTGAGAAAAGATATATTTAACTTTCTTTAAAAACAAAACAAAACTAGCTTGTAATGTTATATTACTATATTATCTCATTTTAAATGGAGATTTTAATTTAATCATTTAATCATTTTTAGGTTTTGAAAAAGTCAATTCTGAAAAATGCACAAACGTCACAGAAGAAAAACAAAGAAACAAATGTTTATTTTTAATAGCTGTTAAATTCTCCGTATGGAATCTCTTTGATTTACTACGTTGGAATTTTTGACAACGGGCGACATCTTGTGTTTAAATGCTATAATGCAAAATATAAAAGTCATTTTGAAACAAAATCGACGAAAACCTTTCCAGAAGTATATTGAGTTTTTACCACTATATTATCACTGTACAAACCATTTGGTTGGGAATGGCCAGTGTATGTATAATAATACATTTGATCAATAGCAGCTTTGTTAGCAAATGAACTGACCACAGTTTTAGGGCCAATCCAGTTTAGTGATAACTCGTTTTAATAAAGCCAACTCCCATATTTCACAGTCATAACTACCCAACCAATTAACAGTTTTTTAGCTTTTTGCTAAAGCTAAAGACTTTATTTTTAATGTAATTAAAAAACATATTTTTCTGACTATTTTAGCACACTTTGGGAATTAAAAATACACATGAAGGGGAGCCTTCTTTTTATAATCTGTAGCAATGGTTTCCATCTGTTAAAAAATCTAAGTTTGTAGTTTAGGAGCTGGTCTAAATGTTAGCATAGTGAGTACTGGTAGGTATGGGGCTGGTCCTGGGTCTCAGTTGCTGTCCGAAGTGACGCTTAGGTCAGCACACCATTTTTCATAAGCCTTGTGCAGAATCTCGAAGGGCGTGTTATTAAAGATGTCTGCACTCAAACCAAACAGAAAAAAAGGAGATGCTTTAACAGTTGTTCAAATCAAAGTTTCCTCTTTGAGAAATAAAGGTAAACAATGCCTTTTATGCAAACACAGGCCCATGTGAGACCTCTGTACTAATACTGCATAGGTACAGGAAGACAAAAAGTAGTGCACACCTTCTTATTTAATCAAAGCAAGTCATCAAACTAAGAACAATGAGACTGGTGTAGCACAGTGTATACAGCCAGTATACGTTGGGATGTTCATTCAAGTAACATAAAATAAAAAATAGAGACATTAGTCCTACTTATGACACAATATATCTAAAGAGAAAATTATTTAAGTTTGAGTTAAAATGCCTGGTATTTATAATTGTAATTGTATTAATTTATACTGTCTTTGTTATCTCTTTATTTAGACGTATAGAAAGTGTGTTTCCATACCAAAATGTCAACATCATGACAACACTAGTATCCACATGTTAGCCACTAGGGCTAGCTGCTGAGGCCCTAAAGCCCTAAAAAAAGCAAGGCTGGAAGACATGGGCTAAATCTGTAGCTCTTTTTGTTTGCAATATATTTTTTGCAGGAGTAAATAAAATATGAATAAATAAATAAATATATAAAACAACTCGAACTTGCAGTGCTGCACCTAGTTTTGGTATTAAAATATTTGTTTGCTTACAATGTACTGTACCAGTATTAAAAAATGTTTTTTTTTATTATCTCTAAATAAGTTAGGTATTTCTATTTTTTTTTAAATATACCTGGCTGAATCCAGGTCATCACTGATCCTACGTCGGATTCTACTGTCCAAAAGTCGAAAAGAAGCTTCTGGTCCCGGCCCCTCGATTCATTAGCACCGCCTATGGTGCAGACCTGCGGGTTCAAACGTAACGATGGCACGTTGTTCGCCTTGTTGCTGAGATTTAGCATGTTGTGACTATGAAATTGTGACCGGTGTATCTCACATCATCTTCTCCACAATATTATCAGATGTTTTCAGCGTTGCTGTGAGCTGCAGGAATCGAACAACATGTCGGTGGAGAAAGGTAATGACGGTTTCACCGTATCACTTTTAATTTGCATGTTTGCAGCGTAAAACAGAAGATATGCTACGGCTGCCCAAGCTAGTTTCTTCTCTATAAAATGACTGTTTAGCCACTGTAAATGTCTCCCAGACATATGATATATTACAAAAGTTCTGTTTTTTTCTAATGTAAACTACGTTCGAAGCAAACAGGTGTTGCTAACAAGTTTTCAGGCTACCTGCTGAGACTAGTCGGACAGCAAAGTGGATTAAACTAGAAAGAATTGCTAATACTAAGATGCTAGATCAAATGAAAAACGTAGTGTCCGAAGATAATTTGTTTTATCAGTCTTTTTAGTTTCATTTGTCTCTTTAGACTACAGAAGTAGTAGTACAGTGACTCTATACTATACATAAGGCCATTTATCCATGAAGCTTTGTTTTTGTTTTTATTTGACACAGGAAATACATACGTGATGCTAATGTATGATGGCAAAAATAAAAAATACAAAATCAGTCAACAGAGGAGAAAAAAATATTCAGTTTCATTAGAAATATCAGTTTTACAACGTTTTATTTCATCCTGTCTTACACTAAAGCAAACTATTTAATTTTTATGTTTTTATTCTATATAAGTAAAAGTTGTTGTTATGTTAGGGTTACAATGAAAGCTTTTTGCTTAACAACAATTCATATTTTTTTCCCAGGTTTTTCAAATCAAGCACATCACAAACGTTTCTGAAGTTGTACATACAATAAACCTGAACAATAAATAATATGAAGACATCATATTACTATGCATTTTTTAAAATGTATTACAATATAGTTTTCTTTTGACCCGCGGTTAACTTGTCCTTGTAGGTTTGCTTGTGAGTTGGAGCCATACCTCAAAGAGTTTGCTCAGCCATTTTTTGACAGCTCTCCACATGGTAAGAAGATCACTGTGAAGACCGGACCTGCAATGGAGACACTCAAGGTGAGAAACAAGTACAATGTAAATCTTGATGTCTCTCTGACATTCTATTAATGATCTTCCTGTTTGGTTTTATTTTACTTATCTTGTCAATTTATACAATCTTTTTAAAACAAAAATAAATTTTGTTCATAATAAACTAGAAGCTTTTATAATCTATAAAATATAGTCACAATGTGTCGTATGTACCAATTAAAAAAATTCAAAATGACAGGTGGTCCCATTTCCCAGGGCACCAAGCTTTTGATCTTTGCTTTAGTCTTTCTGTATTTTTTACCACATTTTAGCTGTTTATTTTAAATTGGCTCTCCTGAGAAACATTAACTTGTTGTTAGAGTATGTCATTAAAACTAAGGCAGGTTTGGTCATCTCCTTCCCTCTTCTCTCTTCAGGAACTGGCAGCTGCCAGTGAACAGTTTGACATGGTCTTCATTGACGCTGACAAGACAAATTACATCAACTACTACAACTTCATCCTGGGCAACAACCTGCTGAGGCTCCGAGGAGTCATGTGTGTTGATAACTCGCTGTTTAAAGCAAAGGTTTATCTGCAGGAGACAACAGATGAGAACGGACTGGCACTGAGAGAATTTAACCAGTTTGTTGCCAGTGATCCCCGTGTGGAGCAGGTCACTATTAAACCTGGAAAAGTGTTTTTTGCAAAAACTTGAGTTTTTGTGTGAGATGTTAAATGTCTGTCTTGTTTAAAGGTCCTCATTCCTCTGAGAGACGGCCTCAGTTTAATTCGCCGAGTATCTGTGACCTCTACGTGCTCAAGGACAGAGGTGGGAATCAAGAATCAAGGAAGGAATTCAAACACAACCAGTATTGTTTTTTAACTTGAATATGTGGAGATGCAAAAGAAATACTACTGAACAGGTTATGAAAAAAAATGAATGAAAAGTGTCTCAGTAACAAGACTGTTCTCACTGATGTGTCTGTTTCCAGAACAAAATAACCACAGATGAGGTTTTCCACGGGGTCAGAGGTCGCTCCATTCTAGATCGCATGCGTCTCGATGGGAAGGTGGCTTACGTGACAGGTGCTGGTCAGGGTATTGGCCGAGCTTTTGCCCATGCTCTGGGTGAGGCTGGTGCCAAGGTGGCTGTTGTGGACCTGGACAGAGACAAAGCAAAGGCTGTGGCTGAGGAGCTCTTCCTCAAAGGTACAGCATGTAGACCAAACACACGGAGGCTGCAGCTGCATTTTCTCTTCCTGTTCTTATCACTGTTGTAGGCTGAGTTGGAAAGTTTGTTGGTAAAAATAAGAAGTCAGAGGAAATGTAACTATTAAAATATTTTGTACATTTTTATAATTATCTTTAAAGTATTTGTATATTACTATTGCACCAAGCAAAAATCATTTACATAGAAACCTATATTTATTTTCTACACAGAAATGAAAAACAAAAACTACTGTTTACGCATATCATACACCAGCAATGTGTGAAACTGAAATAATTTCCTCTTTATTCTTCTGTGAAAACAAAAAAAAACTTTACAGCTGCTGTCCTTAAAAAGGGGAAAAATGTATTAAATAATTGTGACCATGGTCATAATATTTTAACCCTTTTCTGATAAATTTTCGTTTTTAATGATTCCATCTGTTTTAAGAATAGAAAATAAGGGGTTTTAAATGCACTGCTATTAATGTGATTTTACTATGAACATGACAGTACATATTTTAAATCTAAACATTATCGCCCAAGATTGACTTGTCTGTGTAGTATTCACCTAATGGCCAGCAGGTGGTAGCACAGTAAAGGACAAGATTCGGGATGCGGTTGCCAATGCTTTTTTGTCACAGAAATAAAACAATCCTAAAACAACAAAATATTCAAGCCCTAGATTATATTTTACCGGTTTGTATTCAAAAGACTGCCCGCACCTGTTTGTTTAATGTATAAGTGGCATGTTTTCAGCATTATTTGAATCAGACTGTTTTTGGGAAAACCTTCTATTCTATTCAGGTATCAACGCCGTCTCAATCACAGCTGACATCAGCCAGGCCAATGATGTCCAGAAGATGATTGAGACCATTGTGTCCAAATGGGGAACGGTCCACGTCGCGTGTAACAACGCCGGCATCAACATGAACTCTGTGAGTGAAGACACCACTGTGGACGAGTGGGACAAAACCTTCAACGTCAACCTGCGAGGGACATTTTTGTGCTGTCAGGTGTGTCTGTCAAGTGACATTTGCAACATTTTAGATTATTTGTAACTTAAAATTTTTTTTATTTACTCACTGAATAAAATTGTATTTGTTCAGATCTTATTTTCTTAAGGTAATATATTTAGTACTAATAATATAATTTAGTACTAAAATATTTTATATTACTAGTTGATTTTGCCTAATGTTATATATTATATTTTTCTTTATGTCTCAATCTTTGTGTAATATAAATTAGACCAATAACAAGGAAAGAAAATATATCGGTTCAATTTGCAATGAAATTTGTTTTTTTTTCTTTAAAACAACATAGTTTTAATCATCTTGTCCAGAATTGTCCTTGTTTATGGAATAAAGTAATTCCCATTTATTTAATTTAAGAAAATGTTAAGAGGAAAATCCAATAATGATTTAAAAGAACTAGATTAATTCTGCATAGTTAGTGTTTTATCTTTCTTAAGGCCAGTTAAAGAGTCTGACCTAATTACTAACAGCTGCTGTGTAACTCCACACTGTTGTAAAGGAGTATTAAATACCACAGCTGGTTTTACATGTGAGTTTTAAAATCTGGTTGGGACGAAACACTTGTTTTTGTTCATCTTTTTCTGTAATGTCTATGTTCAACAGTCATCTGTGCCACAACAATATCATTTTTATTCTCCAAAATCCTGGTTCTAGGCAGCAGGTCGAGTGATGTTGAAGCAGGGATACGGCAAAATTATCAACACTGCCTCCATGGCCAGTCTAATAGGTGAGTGATGAATCTCTTCTTCTTTGCTCTGCTCCATGTCCATGGTTTTAATCTCACCCTCAGCCTGGAGTTTTCATCTTAAAATGTTTCAATAAATGACCTCAGTGGAAGGACATTAATTTGAAGCAAGAATGAAGACTTCAAACATGAACACACCAGTTCAACTACTAAACTCCATAACATTTTAATTATTAATATTCAGTGAACTTAAAAAAATAGTTTTTTAATCAAACTCAATACTGTTGTAATATTTTTTCATCTTAGCCAAGTGCCCTGAGGTATCACAGTCCATTTTGTTCACCTTGACTTTCTACAGATCTACACTGGATCTACACTAGCTTCAGAGTATGCGTGATGGTGACTGTGTGATTTTGGGTAGTATTTGTGGTGGAATATGAAACAATGACTGAGAAAAAGTCCTGTGGCTGGATTTAGGCATTTTAAATTTAAAATTCAAACACAAAACATTTTATATTTTCCAGCTTATCACTTGGCCAATTCTAAGCCTTATAATTTGGAATTATTGTGATTTTTGTAAAACATATCATAACGTATCTTTCAGCTCTATTTTTAGTTGGCTAAATTTCAGTGAGAATAATCTAAGGCTGTAAACTATACATCTTCTTTGTCAAGGTATTTAAAGCCTTTTCTGGGGCATATCTGGACAAGCATTTTCTGTAACAGTTTCAGAATTCAAAATAAATTGAGAACCCATGCTGTTTGAATTATGTGTTGCTACATCTGTTAACAAATGTATGTTAATAAAAATTATTTTTAGAGTAAAAGGGTTTTGCTTGTCAAAAACAATCATATACTGGTTGTTGTGAATTTACAATAATGCAGTTAAACTAGACAAAATAAACTCCAGTTTCAACACTGAGTACATGTTTTTCAGGTTTACAGATAAAATCCAGGTGAACCTACATATTTTTCTTTTTCTTCTTTTTAGCCTAGTTAAACAACTCTACGGAGATGCATCAAACCCCTGCAAACAATAAGCTTAGCAGGAAATACATAGTGTCGAGATTGCATCTGGCTCAGGCAGTTTTGCATCATAATTTACATCCTCCTCTTTTTTTTGAGCTATCTGGAGGATGTGGAAGGCCAACGTGTGAAGGGAGGGAGGGTTCCTGTGCTGCGGCAAACCTCAGTCTGCGCCAACAGCCTTGTTTGAACAGTGAAAGGCACTTTTACAGTTTAGTGTGTGCCTAGTAAAAGCCCTATAATTGGTAACACCACTGTGATATTCTTCCTCTAACAGGTTCCTCCAGAGCAGAATAGCAACACTTCATCAGCAGTGCAGTCAGATCGCCAGTAAACCACTGTGCCATATGGGCCCCAGTCCCAACTGCAGGGGCAATCTGTAAAACAGGGGCATGCTGGTAAATAGAGGCCGGCATAAAAAAATGATCAATTACTCACATTACGTACACTCCTTCAGGAATTGACTTTATTGGTCTGGACATCTGTTGTAATATTGTCATAATGTGTAATCAGATGGGACCTGTTCTCGCCAAGTGGCCGCCCAAAAAGCAGCAGTAAATGCCCAATTAAAAAGCACAATGACAGCTTTTTGTCCATCTGCTGAATAAAGTGCGAGTCTGTTGGTATGTGTGAATCTGTGTGTGCCAACTAACACACACACACACACTAGCCCACTCCCAAACTGTCACCAGTTCCCTCTCTATAACCAGGCCTGTCTGAAGTCCAGCTGTAGGACCAGTGATGACATGACAGGTTCTAATGCCTGCAATTTGTAAACAATTTTAGTGAAATTATCTAACATTAATAACATTCTTCTGCTAACCTATAGTTAAATCAGGGATTCTTTTTTTGCTATTTTGACATAAGGGTATTTTCTGTGGCAGCTGTGTACTTTTTTCTTTTCTACTTTTATCTAAAAGGACAATAATGGTGATAAAATATTTTGACCAATTTGGGGAAATATTAAGTGGCTATATTCAGTATTTTTATTTTGTCTATTTTGTTTTGTCATTCATTTTGCTGGACACAGTGATCATTTTGAAAGCTTTCTCTTATTTCTGGGCTGACTTCTTTGTCAAAGTCAAAGCTATTTCAGCACAATATTAACGTTGGCAATCTTAAAATGTCACATCTAGTATTATTGTACTTTCTGTTTTGCTACATAGCAAAATGTTTAAAATGTTAAGTATTTGGGATAACTGCAAGGGAATGACCCTTACATTTGATATATTTTTATGTAAATATTTACAGATAACCATTGTGTACAAAGCAGAAAATATAATATAAATATGTGTTTTAACCATGGCCCAGTGATTGAAAATGGAGCAGTAAATTCACATAATCTCACGTCTATCTCTTGAAATGGTTGACCAAAGACAACCATTATGGAATCAGACGATTTTGTCAAAAATCCATCTTGCTTGCTTCTTAACCTTATCAAGGGATTTGAGGCACACCTATATGTGTTCTGTCAGCCCAGACATGCAGTCATAAACGGTAACATAATCATTGCACAGAGGTGGCGTTATTTCATCTACTTATCTATTCACACTAGCTCAGGATTTAGAGATGTGTCCGATAATGAAGAATATATTTTATTTCACTTGAAATAAAGCGCGAGTATCAGTGTGAATGTTAAACAGGGTTTTGGAGAAAGCCCTCCTTTTACCACCTTTTCCTACTCTGGGGATTACCGCTCTTTAAGACCAAGCCAAACATCAATGCAGGTTTATTTAAGAGATGAAGGCATTTTCTGAATGGAATTTTGAGGCTGTATCATCGGCTCGGAGTGAGGATTAGTGCTGTTAGACATTTTGAGCTGTTTCCTGTCCTGATAAGTTGGATTTTACCTTCAGCCGCTGTGTAAGCCGTGAGCTCTTCCTCTTCTTGCCTCTTCCTCAGAGGTCCTTTATCCAGGCCTGCCCGGAACCAACCTTTACCTTTTCCTGATATCTCAGCATGCTCCTCACACACACTCCCACAATTTCTAAGCTATGTGTTTGCAAGCTTGATACCAGTGCTAAGAACCGATGGTGCCTTTACAATGTCAATGTAAAAAGGCTTTAATTTTGAATTGAATATTGAAAATGCTTGATGGTTGCAACTGCATTCATTTCTACAATTAACTATCTAAAATATATGTTTAATTTTTAGTAGAAATAGCTGAAAAATAATGAACACAAGGCGAAACATAGAGTTGACTGCTGTAAACTTAAAAATAAATCGATTAGAACCTTCAAAATAGCTAAAAGTTAGCCAGCCAATGTAGCAGAACTAGCCAAAGAACCGTCCAAATGATGTAAAATACTGTATGTGTGGTACAGGAGAGTAAAAATTCAAAGGGCTTGAACTTCACCTGGCAAACTGGGATGATGCCAGTATTCTCTGTCCTCTCATTTACACTTTACTGCTTTACTAAACACTTCGCTCTTTCTATCTGCATCTTTTCATTCTTTTTCATCCCAGCCTTGAATACAGGGACAGTTCGGCCTTTTCTCCCCTGGACTGGTCTCTGGCTCTCTGCAGCTGGCCAGTATTTATCATCCCAGTCTCACACTGAAGCCATTTGGCAGTCAGATCAGCAGGTGACGAGGTTAACTACTAAAGTTGTATGTAACTTGGAGCCTTCCTCGTGATGATTAATCAACCGGTAGAAAATGAGCCCCTGTCCAGGCATCCCATGCAGTGTGTAGCATCTGTGATGGTCAAGGCAAACAAATGGCTCCCTGCCTTTGTTGCAGAGGACTTAGCATAACTGGACATTATAGGCAATTAATATTACACAGCTTTATCTGCAGCGTCCCTCGACTACTAATGCAGGGAGCTTTTATAATATGTCCACAAAAAAGGTGCTTGACCTGCAATATCACACGTAGAGGTTGTTAGAACTACTCCTAATGACTACGGGGGAATCATAGGAGAAGAACCTCCTGGTCTTAGTTCTGCAGTAAATCTTACCAACATATTCATAAATCACTTAACTTGCACTTGTTTTATTTTGCAGTCCCTCATCCTCAGAAGCAGCTGTCCTACAACACCTCTAAGGCTGGAGTGGTCAAATTGACTCAGACCCTGGGTACTGAATGGATCGACCGAGGCGTTCGTGTCAACTGCATATCACCGTAAGTCAATGATTTTTATGATGAGTTTGTCTTTAAAAAAACAAAACAAAAACAGTAAACTAAATCTATGAAAAACAAAAGCTCTTATACAGTGTGGTACACTGATGAACCAGAGGCAGTTACTTTCACTCTTTATTTAATCAGGTCAGTCATATATACAGATTACTGCACATGTGCACATCATCAGGAATTTTTACTGACAAAAACTATAAAACATGTTTAAAGTAATATGAGGGATCTTTGGGTAAAGTGTTTTGGTAACATTCAAAAACATTCAAAAAAAATTCAACTTCAAATGTTTTTTTATTTGATTACATTTTCAAAAAGAGTGCAAACTTTTTAGTAGATTGTGTTTGTACTTTGGAGCCTGGTAGGAAATAGAGCGGCACGGAGAAGTGGTGATTAGCGTGTTTGCTTTTATATGAAGAGCCCCATCTGAGAAGGTTGTGCTAATTCAAACAATGCATCAGTGCTTAATTAGATGACGTCTTGAGGGATGAATCAAGCCAGCGCTCGCGCTAATTGTTCTATTCAATTAGGGAATCAAATTTGCAACCTCATTTCAAGTGTCGCCGCAACAATAGAGCAGTGTTTGTACCTATTTGTCTGTGAAGCGGAGAAGTTGGATGAATACCGGAAATAGAGTGGGAGGTAAGT